AACCCAGGTTGTTACATAGCCTCACCACCCTTGTAACCCAGGTTGTTACATAGCCTCACCACCCTTGTAACCCAGGTTGTTACATAGCCTCACCACCCTTGTAACCCAGGTTGTTACATAGCCTCACCACCCTTGTAACCCCAGGTTGTTACATAGCCTCACCACCCTTGTAACCCCAGGTTGTTACATAGCCTCACCACCCTTGTAACCCAGGTTGTTACATAGCCTCACCACCCTTGTAACCCAGGTTGTTACATAGCCTCACCACCCTTGTAACCCCAGGTTGTTACATAGCCTCACCACCCTTGTAACCCAGGTTGTTACATAGCCTCACCACCCTTGTAACCCCAGGTTGTTACATAGCCTCACCACCCTTGTAACCCCAGGTTGTTACATAGCCTCACCACCCCACCCTTGGTTGTTACATAGCCTCACCAACCCCCCAGGTTGTTACATAGCCTCACCACCCTTGTAACCCCAGGTTGTTACATAGCCCCACCACCCCTGGAACCCCAGGTTGTTACATAGCCTCACCACCCTTGTAACCCCAGGTTGTTACATAGCCTCACCACCCTTGTAACCCCAGGTTGTTACAAAGCCTCACCACCCTTGCTCCACTGTGCTCTTGGCTCTGCCTGTGTCTCCTAGTGCAAATTATTACCTTCAGTGTACCTGAAAGTACCCTTAAGCAACCTACCACATTTTGTGTATAGTTTTATATATTCTTTTTTTCATATCTAGTTCTTTTACAATTGTCTTTTTTTTCTGTAAAACAGCCCTCTTATGCAAACTATTATAGCCCCAGACCTTAACCTCTTTTATTATTATTATTATTACTATTATTATAAATTAAAACAATTGTAACCTCTCCTGTGTTCTATTACATCTGTCCAAGAAGAGTTTCAGAACAGGGTTTGCACTTAAAAAAAGTGTTTTATAAACGTAATTTACACAAGAGAATGTATGGAGTGAATTTATGTTTAACATGTCTAGGGATTTGAAGAGGGGAGCTGTGTGTTGTCTGAAAGCAGACTTAGTTATTGTCCTGATAGCATAATTTTGCTGGATGATGATGGGCTTGAGGTAGTTTGCAGAGGTTGAACCCCAAGCACAGATACCATAAGTAAGATAGGGATAGATAAGTGCATAATAGAGTGAGAGGAGAGCAGAGTAGGATACATAATATCTGATCTATGAGAGTATACCAACTGTTTTAGAAACCTTTTTAGTTATGTGTTGTATGTGGGTGCTGAAGTTGAGTCTCTTGTCTAAGTACAGGCCAAGAATTGGATGAACCATAGATGTGCGGCCCCTCTTTTTTTTTTGTTTGAGATATATACAAGAGTTGTTACATTCTTGTACAGCCACTAGTACGCGTAGCGTTTCGGGCAGGTCCCTGGAATACGATCCCCGCCGCGAAGAATCGTTTTTTCATCCAAGTACACATTTTACTGTTGAGTTAAACAGAGGCTACAGTTAAGGAATTGCGCCCAGTAAATCCTCCCCGGCCAGGATACGAACCCATGACATAGCGCTCGCGGAACGCCAGGCGAGTGTCTTACCACTACACCACGGAGACTGTTGCATGATAGTATGATAGACTGAGGATAGACTGTTGCTCTTGCATGATAGTATGATGATAGATGGAATTACTGGTGTCGATTTCACTTTGCCTCAGATCTACAAGATCTTGTTGAAGTTCTCGGTGTACTGCTGCTCTCAGATTGCTCATTGACAATCCAAGGTTACACTCAACGGCTCCTTTAAAGGCAGATTCTTTAGCTAACTCATCAGCTCTATCATGCATTCGGAGGCCAACATGAGATGGAGACCACATGGTCTCCATCTCCATCCATGGGGGCCTGGTAGCCTGGTGAATAGTGCGCAGGACTCGTAATTCTGTGGCGCGGGTTCGATTCCCGTACCAGGCAGAAACAAATGGGCAAAGTTTCTTTCACTCTGAATGCCCCTGTTACCTAGCAGTAAATAGGTACCTGGGAGTTATTCAGCTGTCACGGGCTGCTTCCTGTGGTGTGTGTGTGTGGTGTGGAAAAAAAGTAGTTAGTAACCAGTAAACAGTTAATGGACAGTTGAGAGGCGGGCCGAAAGAGCAGAGCTCAACCCCCGCAAACACAACTAGGTGAATACATGAAATGGACTCTGTTACCATCTTTAATAATTTTGTTGTATTTGTGTCTAGCTTCGGACACGAGCATGTTACAGTCTTAAAGAGTTGACAGCATTTAAGGATGATAAGGAGTCACTTACACTTAATGTATCAAGTTTGGAGACTTGTACACATTTCAGTGCAAGGAGCAAGGCAAATAGTTCAGTCTGAAGGGTAGAGGCCCAGTTGTTTATACGGACTCCCCACTCAAAGTACAAGCCATCGCCCATTGTCAGCACAACTGCACTTCCAGCTGCACCCGTGGTGCGGTGTAGGGAACCATCAGTGTATATGATTTGAGAGAGAGAATGCTCTGTGGACAGAGCATCAATATGGCTTAAGGCGTTGAGCTTTGCCTCAAGACGAAGCTTGGGCTGATCTCTAATTTGCTTCTTGGGTGGAAAGGGAGGGATTAAAACTGGAAAGGGTGTAATCTCCCACGGTGCAGGAAAGTGCCGTTGTTGTTTCTCTTGGTACAAATCATGAACCCCATACATTCTGAGTTCAGTTCCAGTTTTAGTTATCCATTTGGAACAATGCTGACCTTCTACAAGCAATTCTGGAGGGCTTCTGTGCAAGGATTAGGATGAGTTAGCCTAAGCATTTTTATACCAATTTGACAGTTAATTTCAGTAACACGATCAACAACGCTCGGAATATTAAGTTCCTTTCTCATACTGTAGCGAGTAGATTATCCCAATAATATACTCGCTCCAAATGCATTGTTAATATTCCTGTCAACCTTTGGAGATGAATGAGGTGAGGCGTTGCCCGGGCAACACGGTGAGGTGTTGCCCGAGCATATAAGCAGCAGAATAGCAAACATTAACCTAGTCTACTTTCAAGTGTGGTCTAGAGCAGACACTTGCGAGATACTGTACCGACGCTCAGTGCGCTCAACTCACACCAAAGTATCACCTGTGTACTTCTGTATATTCGACCAAATATATATATAGTATCTTAGTGTCTGTGTTTATTTGTCACCATACTTTACGTAACAATAGAACCGTTACATTGGTGACCCCAGAGAGTTTCGACGATACCCAGCCACGATGGACTACAACATGGACTCTCACTGGACCTCTACTGCTACTGTTTGCTGTGATGGAACACTGCCAACACCCTCGCCACAGCTATGATTTTCATCGCGTCCATCTCTGCATTTTCATCTACTACGGCTTGCTGCTCCACGATCGTTACTCACTCATCTGACAGCCTCATCAATGATTACATCATGTTGGATCTACAGCTTGTCCTGCCGACTCTCCGTCGCTGCCAGGGCACTGCTTGTCCTACGCCCACGACAGCTGCTCTGTCATCAGATTCATCTACACGTTCACTGCATTTTGATACTCGGCCGACTCAAGCCCTTTGCGCAGTACAGGACTTACAGCTTGCGTTTCCGACACTTCGTCGCCTTCAGGACAATTCAGCTCTAGATGTGATTACCTCGTTGTCCTAACTACGTGCCTACATTACCTCCTAATGTCCTGGTGCCCGAGCCCATCCGCCCCGGATCTAAATGCTCCACCAGCGACCCAAGGACGCAACAATTATGCACATTCTTCTCTCCTGCTACACCGAGCTTGTCCACACACTGCCTACATCTTTTGGTACCAGACTACAATTTCCACAGTCAACAATGTAGTACTCGGCGTGTACAGTCCTAATCAACCCAAGACGCTACAGCTTCGACACAGAGCAGACAGCAGACTACGACCGCATCGAGCCGCCACGCTCTCGCTCCCCGAGTTCAGACACTCACAATTCTCAATCGAGCCGCCACGCTCTCCCACATAGAGCTCCACGACTCCGGCCTCACTCAGCTCTCTGCTCTGCTCCAGGCTTCGTCTCAACGTCTGCGACACTGCTAAATCCAGAGACACATCCGCCGACTACGCAGTTCACTTTTCGACCACAGTTACCAGCAGCACCGCCACCTACGACAACGGACGATCCTGTACGACCTCCCACCCTACAACCCCAGTTACCAGCCGCACCACAACCTGATCCTACGACGACGGACGATCCTGTGCGACCTCCCACCCTACGACCCCAGTTAGATGACATCAGCGAAGAGGAGGAAGTTAACTTTGATGGTTATGTAACGCGAGCAGGGCGTACAATTCACCGACCAGCTAAGTTCCTTGATCAAGTATTTTTCCTTTCATCCCCTGGGAGGGGGAGTTCTGTAGCGAGTAGATTATCCCAATAATATACTCGCTCCAAATGCATTGTTAATATTCCTGTCAACCTTTGGAGATGAATGAGGTGAGGCGTTGCCCGGGCAACACGGTGAGGTGTTGCCCGAGCATATAAGCAGCAGAATAGCAAACATTAACCTAGTCTACTTTCAAGTGTGGTCTAGAGCAGACACTTGCGAGATACTGTACCGACGCTCAGTGCGCTCAACTCACACCAAAGTATCACCTGTGTACTTCTGTATATTCGACCAAATATATATATAGTATCTTAGTGTCTGTGTTTATTTGTCACCATACTTTACGTAACAATAGAACCGTTACATAGTCTTGCCTTTGACCTGCTACCCATTACCATAGTCTTACCTTTGACCTGCTACCCATTACCATAGTCTTACCTTTGACCTGCTACCCATTACCATAGTCTTACCTTTGACCTGCTACCCATTACCAGTCTTACCTTTGACCTGCTACCCATTACCAGTCTTACCTTTGACCTGCTACCCATTATCATAGTCTTACCTTTGACCTGCTACCCATTACCATAGTCTTACCTTTGACCTGCTACCCATTACCATAGTCTTACCTTTGACCTGCTACCCATTGGTAACGTGGGCTTCCCTGCGCCTTACCGTCATAGTCGCGAGCGTTCAAGAGGCTCTGGTGATTATCGAGGAAATGCTGAACATCACTACACCCCCAGAGAGGTCCCTCGCTCTCGTCACAGGCGGAGCTGGCGACGTAGTGGAGGACGGTTCGTCCCTGGGCGTCCCTGGCCACGGCTAGCAAGTCATGGGCGTGGAGGAGGGAGTTCACACCCCCGCGGCCACAGTACAAGCCGCGCCTCGCTGCCTCCATCACCTCCTCCACTCGCTCCTCGTATGTCTGTCATCGACCAATCAACATCAAGAGGAGGTCAATTTAGTGGTGCTTGTTGCAAACGATTGTTGAAAACTGACATGATCTCAGATGGTTTAGCCAAAAATTCATGACTAAAGCTGAATTAGAAACACGAGTACTACAGTAAACAATGTAAATCCGGAAAGCAAAACATACCTTCATAACTTTTATGATTAGATTCTCTCTTGACAAGGGCGGAGTCGCAGACGACATAGCGTCGACCACTGGCTGGGAGCCTAGAGTGTGGGCTTCCACGCAGGTATCTTCGTCTACAGTCAGCTGTTGTGCCACCAGCTGCTGCACCTTCCTGGACTCTCCCCGTAGCACAGCCACGAATAGTTTCGATCTCTGTGGTTGGTGAGAGTTAGAACCATTAAGACGTGTGGTTATGTTAGCACATCGCCTGGACCACTACAAGGTTCTCTCAGTCAATGACTGGCGATACTTTCCCTAAAATGTTTTACTTCTTTCTTTTCATGTGTTAAGGTAACCAGGAAGATCTCCATATGGTCACACATTCCGGCTGGCCTGATATCCATCGCTAAGGTTCCCACACTCCATTTCCATGATTATTTGTATTATCATTTACCTGAACTTACCTAAGGTCCACTAACACTTAAGCGGCTCGACGAGCACAGGAAGCCGGCGGCTTTCAAAGTTCTCCCATTAGCTCCGATGATATTTTCCAGTTGAATTTTAAAATTTAACAGACTTTTGGCATTTACGGCTGCAGCGGGTAGACTGTTCCATGGGTCTACCTGCTCACCCTGTGAGTGAAAAAACATCTCCTGTTCTCAGTTCCACATTGTGGCTAGTTGAGCTTCAACCCGTTGGTCCTTGTTTGTGTTACATTTGTTTGCTTAGGTTGTCCTTAGTGGTAAGAAGGCAAGCATGTCTCATAGTGACCTTTCACCCACCAGTGTTTGATAATAATATTTACACTACTGATACTTAGCATAGCTATTTGTTTATAAGGCCGCTAACCTCACACATGCTGTTTCCAGCAAATCTTAAAATTATCAATTGGGAGTCGTAAAATATATTAATATTATATAAATATATACTAGGAGAGGTACCTGGCGGTGGCTGGGATTGTCTGCCCCTTTCCCTCTTCCTTCCCACTCTCCCTAGCTGCAGTTCTCCTCTATTCCAGCTGCTCTTTCCCCTATCATGCCCCCTTCCACGTTGTTATAGATTCCGCTACTGGAACAAAATTTTCATGTAGCACGAGTTACAGTGAGACCTAAGTGGAGGCCCTTTGGAGTCATTATCAGTATCAACAGCTGATACTGGAGATCTGGGGATGGGGTCCATGGACGCGCCAGTCTAATCCCTGACCATAGGGCTGGTCAGATCGGTGGATTGATGGGTACACACGTAGCTCACAGCTGAGTGCCACAGGAGTCAGCAGGGCTGTCGGCGGGCTGGCCACAGTCGGCCAGTCTAGGGGAAGATGTCCGGGTGTTACAAGAGGACTGGCTTCCTAATCCCAGTTCCCCGATGTTGGTAGTCTGGTCGAATTTCCTTCTTCAAGGTGTCATGGTCGCAAAGGCGGTCGAGGCGTTCTTGAGGGACGACCATGCGAAGGATCCGTCCTGCTTCCCTGCACTTGTATTCCCAGTAGTCGTTGTGGATTATGGAGTTATGCTGTCTGTCCTTGAAAAGTGCGCGGCCACGTTGGATATACCCGGAGGAGGCAGCATGGGAGCCTGTCAGTCTTGTTGGTGCCGTTGTGGGATTTGGAGAGGGAGGTGGTGCCGAGGCGGCCACATGACGGGCGGGAGAGCTGGTCACATCGACTGAAGCATCGGAGTCAGTCGAGTCATTGTGATCGGCTTCAATATTTTCGTCTTCGGAGTCAGTCGAGTCTGGCCTTGATGTCTTGGTCAGTTGTCCTGGGGGCTGCTGCCATCCCTGTCAGTGGGGGCGAGCTCGGGGACTGCGAGTCGCTGTGGCCGGATGGTGAGGGCTCCCTGGGGGTCGGCTCAGGGCTCCCTGGGGCAGAGGGTCTGGTAGCAGTTGTGGAAGCTGGAAGAAGGTCATGGGTACAGCAGCTGTCGGAAGTCCATTCACGACGAGCAGCCTGTTGATGACATGGATGTAGCGAGTAATATCGTTGCCCACCATTTTATCGGCGAGGTGAAGGAAGGGTAAAAGGGTGATCACGGTGGAGGCTGCAGGCTGGGCCGGCGATGATGTGGTCAGAGGTAGTGAGATAAATCCGGGTACAGGTGTGTGTACCCGGAATTCCCAGGTAATTCCAGTGGCGACGGGAACGGGTTTGCTGGTCGAGGTTTGGTGTTGGAGGAAGCAGTAGCCGTCATCTTTTGGATTTCCTCCTGCCGGAGGTGACAGTAAGGAGAGACCATAGAGTGTGAGCCTTCTCTTCATTCATCTTTGTCCATCTCTATCTATCTATCTATCTATCTATCTATCTATCTATCTATCTATCTCTCTATCTATCTATTGTGGAAAATCTACCAGTGATTAATTGATTTAATTCTCGATTAATTTGTAATAGACTGTATTTAATTTTATTTATTACTTATTTATAACTTCGGAGTGGACTGTATGTTTAATTTATTATCACCAGTAACAAGCCTTTCACACAAAATTTGGGGTTTATAATTATTAAGTTTGGTTATACTGTAATTAAATGGTTAACATTATTAATTTCACTAAACCATAATTAAACAGTTAGTGTATATTGTTAGTGTGAATGTATTATAACCTGATCTGACTAGAAGGTTTCGACAGTTATCATGGAACACACACACACACACACACACACACCACACACACACACACACACACACACACACACACACACACACACACACACACACACACACAACACACACACACACACACTCCCACACACACACACACACACACACACACCACACACACACACACACACACATACACTCACACACACCACACACACACACACACACACACACACACACACTCACACACACACCTCACACACACACACACACACACACACACACACACACACACACACACACACCACACACACACACACACACACACACCACACACACACACACACACACACACACACACACACACACACACACACACACACACACACACACCACACACACACACACACACACACACACACACACACACACACACACACACACACACACACACACACACACTCACACACACACACACACACACACACACACACACACACACACACACACACACACACACACACACACACACACACACACACACACACACACACACACACACACACACACACACACACCACACACACACACACACACACACACACACACACACACACACCACACACACACACACACACACACACACACACACACACACACACACACACACACACACACACACACACACACACACACACACACATACATACACACACACACACACACACACACACACACACACACACACACACACACACACTCACACACACACACACACACACACACACACACACACACACACACACACACACACACACACACACACACACACACACACCACACATACACACACACACCTGTATTATATTATACACATTATGCACAAATATACATGTACAAATTATAGGTACATTATACAATGTACCTATAATTTGTACATAATATATTTGTAATGTACAGGTACATTATACAATATAATGTACAGGTACATTATACAATGTAATGTACAGGTACATTATGGGAGGGACGTGTATACCATGCAAGGTGATGGAGAAGATTGTGAGAAAAAACCAGGTAGCACATCTGGAGAGAAGGGACTTCGTGACAAATCGACAACATGGGTTCAGGGAGGGTAAATCTTGCCTTACAGGCTTAATAGAATTCTACGACCAGCTGACAAAGATTAAGCAAGAAAGAGAGGGCTGGGCGGACTGCATTTTCTTGGATTGTCGGAAAGCCTTTGACACAGTACCGCATAAAAGGTTGATGCATAAGCTGGAGAAACAGGCAGGAGTAACTGGTAGGGCGCTCCAGTGGATAAGGGAGTACCTAAGCAATAGGAAGCAGAGAGTTACAGTGAGGGGTGAGACCTCAGAATGGCGTGAAGTCACCAGTGGAGTCCCACAGGGCTCTGTACTTGGACTTATCCTGTTTCTGATATACGTAAATGATCTCCCAGAGGGTATAGACTCATTCCTCTCAATGTTTGCTGATGACGCCAAAATTATGAGAAGGATTAAGAAACTTAGATGATTGTCATGCCCTTCAAGATGACCTGGACAAAATAAGTATATGGAGTACCACTTGGCAAATGGAATTTAATGTTAATAAATGCCATGTTATGGAATGTGGAATAGGAGAACATAGACCCCACACAACCTTTAAATTATGTGATAAATCTTTAAAGAATTCTGATAAAGAAAGAGATCTAGGGGTGGTTCTAGATAGAAAACTATCACCTGAGGACCACATAAAGAATATTGTGCGAGGGGCCTATGCCACGCTTTCTAACTTCAGAATTGCTTTTAAATACATGGATGGCGATATACTAAAGAAATGTTCACGACTTTTGTTAGGCCAAAGCTAGAATATGCAGCAGTTGTGTGGTGCCCATATCTTAAGAAGCACATCAACAAACTGGAAAAGGTGCAAAGACATGCTACTAGGTGGCTCCCAGAACTGAAGGGCAAGAGCTACGAGGAGAGGTTAGAAGCATTAAATATGCCAAAACTAGAAGACAGAAGAAAAAGAGGTGATATGATCACTACATACAAAATAGTAACAGGAATTGACAAAATTGATAGGGAAGATTTCTTGAGACCTGGAACGTTAAGAACAAGAGGTCATAGATTTAAACTAGCTAAACACAGATGCCGAAGAAATATAAGAAAATTCACTTTCGCAAACAGAGTGATAGACGGTTGGAACAAGTTAGGTGAGAAGGTGGTGGAGGCCAAGACCGTCAGTAGTTTCAAAGCGTTATATGACAAAGAGTGCTGGGAAGACGGGACACCACGAGCGTAGCTCTCATCCTGTAACTACACTTAGGTAATTACACCTAGGTAATTATACACACACACACTTCAGGAACCTGTACGCCTGTTGATTGACGGTTGAGAGGCGGGACCAAAGAGCCAGAGCTCAACCCCCGCAAGCACAATTAGGTGAGTATAATTAGACGAGTACACACACACACACACCAGGTGCCCCTTCTGGTCTGTGCCCAGCACTCTATTATTACATACATAAGAAACTCCTGAGATAGCAACTAGATGACGAACCTCGAATGTAAGTAAGTAATTATCGAAAGATGGCACCAAGCTGGGGAGGCTATGTAGCACCGTCAAAAGTGCAGGATATTCAAAAGGCGCTAAATATCACTAGGGATGCCAATACGAAAACAAAAGCGCATAAGGCGAACAACATCAAAGGCATCTGATTCACCAAGGATACTATCGAGGGACAGGTGACTGCGAGGGACAGTTGGGAAGCATGACACACGCACATCCTGGAAGTCAGGACACTCAACAAGAATACGCACGATCATAAGAAGGACAATGCAATTCGGACAAGAAGAAGCAAGGCGGCGCTCCATTAAGTGCCGTGAGTTAAGTATGTATGGCTAATACCAGAGGAGGACAGCTTGAGGCTTCAAGAAGACCTGGACAAACTGCAGGAATGGTCGAACAAATGGCTGTTAGAGTTTAACCCAAGCAAATGTAATGTAATGAAGATAGTGGTAGGAAGCAGGAGACCAGATACAAGGTATCATTTGGGAGATGAAATACTTCAAGAGTCAGAGAGAGAGGAAGACCTGGGGGTTGATATCACGCCAGACCTGTCCCCTGAAGCTCATATCAAGAGGATAACATCAGCAGCACATGCCAGGTTAGCTAACATAAGAACGGCCTTTAGAAACTTGTGTAAGGAATCTTTCAGAACATTATATACCACATGTCAGACCAATCCTGGAGTATGTGGCTCCAGCATGGAGTCCATATCTAGTCAAGCATAAGACTAAACTGGAAAAGGTTCAAAGGTTTGCCACCAGACTAGTACCCGAGCTGAGAGGTATGAGCTATGAGGAGAGACTACGGGAATTAAACCTCACTTCGTTGGAAGACAGAAGAGTTAGGGGGACATGATCACCACATTCAAGATTCTCAAGGGAATCGACAGGGTTGATAAAGACAGGCTATTTAACACAAGGGGCACACACACTAGGGGACACAAGTGGAAACTGAGTGCCCAAATGAGCCACAGAGATATTAGAAAGAACTTTTTTAGTGTCAGAGTGGTTGACAAATGGAATGCATTAGGAAGTGATGTGGTGGAGGCTGACTCCATACACAGTTTCAAGTGTAGATATGATAGAGTCCAGTAGGCTCAGGAACCTGTACACCTGTTGATTGACGGTTGAGAGGCGGGACCAAAGAGCCAGAGCTCAACCCCCTCAAACACAACTAAGTGAGTACAACTAGGTGAGTACACATACACACACACACACACACACACACACCTCAGGAACTCACACACACAAGACCCCTCAGGAACCTGTACACCTATTGATTAACGGTTGAGAGGCGGGACCAAAGAGCCAGAGCTCTACCCCCGCAAGCACAATTAGGTGAGTATAATTAGACGAGTACACACACACACACACACACACACACACACACACACACACACACACACACACACACAGTGTGCCCGGCACTCTATTATTACATACATAAGAAGTAAGTAAGTAATTATCAAAAGAAGGCACCAAGCCGGGAAGGCTATGTAGCACTGTCAAAAGTGCAGGATATTCAAAAGGCGCTAAATATCACTAAGGATGCCAATACTAGAACAAAAGCGCATAAGGCGAACACCATCAAAGGTATCTGATTCACCAAGGATACT